ATACTCAAATATCGACTGCTTGAGGAACTTTATATCTTCCTCTGAAGAAGCTGAAGGACGACCGGTTGAAGCAGGCCGAGACGTCTTGACTTGCCCCCAGGAAGTGAATAAGTCCTGGATGAAACACACGATCTTATCAGCATCCTGCAAAGAAAATTGTCAACATTGAAGGTTTTCACTACAATAAACAAAGTGGAAGTAAAAGTGAAGCAAAGATTACCTTATCAACAATCTTGGGAGGCGGCATATCCCCAGCCAAATCTACCACCTGTGGCTCCACCACTTGTGAGGACTTCTCTTTGTCTAGGCGAAAAGACTTTGCCACAACGGGCAAACCCATGGGAGCATCTGCAGAACTCAAAAAGCAACAAATCAAAAACCAATAGCACAAGCAAAGGTAAAACATCAAAAAATGTATTACCTTCTGGTTCGACGTTTGGGGGGTTGACGCCCTGGGAAGGAGGTGGCTCATCCATCGGTTGTGATGAGAATTTCGGGACTGAAGGTTTCTCTTTAAGCGTAGTCCCTTCATCAACTTGTTTGGATGAAGCAGTCTCAGCAGAGGATGATGGAGCAAGAGCTGTCAACACCAAAGCCTTCAAATGAGAGGGTGAACTTTTCTGAGAAATCCAAATAAACCATCAGCACATAGAAAAGTTTCAAGTATAGAAAGGTATGCTTGTGAGTAAACTAATTTAATTACCTTTCTCCTGACGATGAGAGGAGTGTGATCATCATCATCATCATTATCCTCCAAAATGGGAGATGCTGAGGCTGGCCATTTGCGCCTTGGGGCACTCTTAGCTGCAGTGGGCTTGGCAGGAAGAGAAGTAGATGGACGAACAAACTGTTTAACACGAGCAGGAGAGGAAGGACTCTTAATGGACACAGGGGTGACCAAAACACGAGAAGTGGAAGAAATGTTTGGCTGATCCAGTGAATGATAAGCACGATTGGCATCAGTTGCAAACAATCTGCGCTTCACTGATGGCCAGAGTTGTTCAAAAAGGGGATGGATGGCATGACTAGGATTGAAGGGGGCTAATGAAAAGTTACTTGTCAAAAGAATATTGCGAGCATCTATAGCTTCTGCCTCTACCTTATTAATGGTGTGGAAGCGATCTATCAAATTTCTTGAATAACAAGGAAGAACAGGCCAAGTTTGGCCAAAACCAAGTTGATGAGCAAAAAATTGGGGAGCATATATTTCAACCCCAACTTTGGCAATGGTTCCAGTCAAAATATCATGGAACAACTCCCTCCCAGTCAAAAACTAAACCCAAACGAGTGGAGAGGTGCTCGCACTATCAATGGTAGATGGGGGTTGCACATAATCTAGAGTTAAAGGGGGAGGAAAAGGAAATAAAGAAAGAATTGAATTCAAAGTATAAAAGAGTGAAAAGATGTCCTTTCTGGACATTTTACAGGGCTCAGTGGGTCAATAGCTAGCCCTTAACAGCTAGCAGAATGAAGGGACAAGGATAGAGCACCAAGCAATGGAAAATAGGCTCTCAACCACATTTGAGTGAACCAAAGAGGCCCACTGTCAGTGGGAGATGCACCATTCTTCAATTGGAATTGAAGAGAAGTCATGCCTCTATAGAGGATGGCCAAAAAGAAAGAACACAAATTCAGAGGCCTATCACGCGTCAATTCGTGCGCTATGGGTAAATAGCTCATAGAAGGCTTCATGCTTGGCACACACAGAATATATTTACAAAGCCAAATCTGAAGAAAGGCCACACGCTCAGCATGGGAAGGCTCAGCGCTCGAGTGATTATAACAGCTTTGCAGGCTTGAATAGGACTCGGTGAGTTTTCTGTCAAATTTTGGGACGACACCAGAAATCAAAATATCAGGGAAAATGGTATCGCCCAAAGGTGGCAGATTTACTAGGGCCCCAACATCCCTTAAAGTAATGGACATGGGACCAAGAGGGAAAAGAAAAGTATTATACTCAGAGGACCAAAAACTTAAAGCAATAGGAAAAAGTGTTGGGTCAAAAATTGGGAGTTGAAGAGAGATTTCTAACAAATCAGAAATCCTAGCACTATCAAAAATTGCCTTGGTAGGACCATGGCCCACAAGGCGAGCATGCCATCTACGAAAAATAACATCAGATTTAGGCCAAGTGCGAATACCTCTTTCGCGAAGCAGCCTCAACGGTAAAAAGTTCAGAAATGGAGGGCCTTGAGTACAAGGGAACGGCTGGCCCACCGCCACTTGTTCGATGGCCTCGGCATTGTTGAATGAAAGACCTAGATAGAACTCATTAAGTTCGGCATTAGCTGGTGTAAGGAAGTTCGGAGTTATATATAGCCGAGTGAGGATTTTCTGGAAATCTTCGAAACTGAAAGAGTCACCAGATTGGGTTTGTAAAGCAGCCATTAGAAACAAAATAAAGTTTTGTTGAAGTTTGCTTGAGAAACGTAGCAGAGAAGCAAGAAGATGAACAGTAATATTGCAAGAAAGAAGCGCGAAATAATGATACGTGAGTTAGTGGTACAACGAAATGGCCTGTCTTTGGGGTTTATAAGGGTTTGTAGCGTTGCACTTTTTCAGGCTATGGAATAAAATAATGATTGAAATTCTTGGGAATTTCAAATGTTGCTGGAAGCACAAAGTAAATATGGCAAAGATTAATAATTAGTATTAATTCTGTCATATTGGGGGGTAATTGTTAACACGCTAAAAGTGCAGCCCAAATCGAATAGCCTAAAAAATTAAGCCCAACTAGGCAATTCAGGATAAAGGCCCAAATAGGGTTATTAATGAATGCAGTGGAAGCCCACGAACGCGGTAACACCATCGCCCAAACTTGCAAGACGCTCAAGATCTGAGCGAATGAAGTGCCTTGCGGTCGCCCAGAGTTATGACTCTGTTCTCGTCCAAACCTTCGAATCGCCCAGGATCTTAGCAAATATAAGATGTTATGGTTATCCGAAAGTGTAGTTATCGAAGCAGTTATGGAGTAATCTTATCACGTTCCACGATTCAAGGAGTTCAGTTGAAGACGGTTGAACGACAAAGAGTAGTGGCAGCAGTTAGAGACGGCTGTTCCACGATAAGTTGGCCACCATGAAGGAAGTTGGTAGTTATAAAACAATCAAGCAGTTTCTAAGCGGTTGATCACGAAAAAATCATCAAGGGAATATAAAAGGAAGAGAAGACATAGAGCAAAAGGACCCCGAATCAAACACTCTCAAACAGAGAATATGTAATTTCAATTTTTTAGTTTAGACTTAAACATTTCTTTTCAGTACTCGTGTGCTTGCGTCCTTTGGAGGCATTCTGTTTAAGTTCCAATAGTAAAGTCATCGCCAATAAAACACCCCTTTTTGGAACTTTGTCTCAAGAGGTTTGTTCCTTACACAATCGTCTGATCCCTTTTTAATTGTTAGCGACTACCCGTGCGAAACAGGTCCATAATGTTTTATTGGTAAACTCAGATTGATTACTGATCCATCTAGATTATTGCACCATTTGAATAAATAGTAAACAAGATTATCAGTTTCTTCATTCCTCTTGTTAAGTAGCCACCGAAGTCTGGTTGGACTAAACAACTCCTGATTGACAATCCTTTTCATTTTCTTCCACTGTTCTCCCCATGGAGAAAGTCCCGTTGTCAAGAATCCCCAGCTTGCATATTCAGTAGCCATGGTTATAGGCCTTGACATGAAAACAAAATCATGTTTATGCAGAAATTCTCGGGAGAGTTCTGGTGAAACTACCACTATTACATGAACCCTACCCAGACGGATGTAGACTATGTTTGTTTTTAGTTTTTCCATTACCCCGTCTACCCATTTGAATACAGGCTTCTTTGTGTACACTTCAGGATGGTTTCCGACTATAGGCCAAGAAAATGGACTAGGTGGAAGTGGTGGTTTT